CTTTATGTAAATTTCGGAAATTCTGTATATGATATGCAGATCACAAAAAAAAATCACATATAACCAATCAATATATGACATTAATTAGTTTTGATTTTCTTAGAATGTCGCACACCCCAAAATCTTACCTACCTATTGTTATTTTTTGCAAAAAAATTTATTGCCTACTGGATTTTCTTCTGCTTTTTTGAGTTCATCTATTCAGGTAAGAACTTGATCTGGGATTTCATGCATATAAAAAGGTTAATTTCACAACCTTCTAATGTTTGAAAATAGAGGATTTTAAAAAATTTTAAATTTAAAAAAACACATGAAATTCAATAGGTCAGACACAGGGGCCCACCCCAACATGACTGAGTTTACATATTAATATGTAATAATAAAATTAATATTATTGAAGTTTAATTCATTTTATCCATGTCCATAATGTCCATACTGTGGGATACATATTTCGATGAGACACCTCTGAAAGATTATAGTTTTCAAGGCTTTTATGAACATCAGTTGAAACAAACAAACTTTACTTCCTCTTTTTGAAAGGAGTCTCACAGTCTGAAAAGATCTTGCAAATCTAATAAAGGATGGCTCAGATGAAATAAAAAAGTTTTCCAGTCTGCTGTATGATACTCATAAGGCAAAGTTTTATTCAGTTTTTCTATTGTATTTTTTTGCATTGCTGGTTGACTTATGGGCTGCTGAACAAGATTTTAATGGCTACTCTGCATGCTGGCCACTTACTATCTTGTCTATTTGTACTACACGTTAAGTTTTCAATTGTAGGAGGGACCCACACAACTAAGGATATTCATATAAAGATTTCTGTTGTAAATATACCTATAAAATAAAAGTAATTAAAATTATTACAATTATTACAATTAATTAATTAAATTATAAAGTTTAAAATAATCTTACATTAAAAGAACCTCAAATACATTTGGAGAAATATCTCCTTTTTCAAATAAAATAATATTGTCATCAGATTTTTTTACCCAGTTATTTGATAAAGCAAGCTTTAAAATATGAAGATCTTGCTTTAGGATGCTAGAATGAGCTTGACATCCTCATCTGCTCCAACTCTAATTTCTACATCATAAAAATCAGATTCATTTATAAGTTTACCAACATGTTTTAATGGAAGAGCATTGTTGTTAGAATTGATAAGGTTGTTAAATAATAAGTTTAAATTTTCCAATGATGGGAAGCAAGTTGTCATTTTGTTGAATTTGTAATAAATAAAATTTTTTTGATAAAAATTTTGTATTAAATTTATTTAACTATCCTATATATAGACTTCACATTATTCTCCAAATGAGCTGAGATAGCTTGAGTTCTGGTGAAAAATGATAACTTGAGCTTAATAAATTTTTTTTAATTAATTTCACTATTTACCTAATTTGTTTTCTTGAACTCAGCTCGAACTTGAAATTCAAGTTCTATCTCGAGCCTGCTCAACTTAGGATTTTGAATTTGAGTATTGAATAAAATAGATAATTTGAACGAATAAAACAGGTAATTTGAATAAAACAAATAAAAATTTGTATTATGAATAGAAACTCTAGTTCGATGCAATAATAATGAAGATTTCATTTTAATTTTCCACAAATACCTGAGCAAAAACATTGTGAAATGTTAAACAGTCAAATTTCATTTGAATCCATTGGGAAAGTTGCATTTAAAATTCGATATTATTATTATTATCTCATTCATTAATATATTATTTTCAATTAAAAAAAAAAACCACAGCATAAGCATAAATTAATTAAATTAATTAATAATGTCAAAAAGAAGAATTGAGATTGACAATTACAATAATTACAATGACAATGATAAAGTAATTATTTTAGACAGAGAAAGCACCTTTTTAGAATCTGAAGAGAGTGTTTACATTGAACCTGAAGGAAATATTAACAATTATAACAATTATGATTATTGTGGTAATGTCAACTATGGTGGTTGTAATTATGTCAATGATGATATTGATAATGATAATGATAATGAGCATGATAATGGTAGTGGTGGTGGTGGTGATGGTGATGGCGGCAGGATTAATTCTATCAAGACATTGGTATTTCTAAGAATAAATTAACTGATATTATTTTATTTGGTAACAGTGTAGAAAAAAATCTTAATGATCAAAATGAAGTTTTCAGATATTTGGTAAACAAAAATACTAATTATGCAAAGGTTTTTTTCTAGTGATGCGGTCATTTTCCAGTGAATCACATTAATGTATGTCATACAGACAGACCTTTGGGCAAAAAAGAATTGTCAAGCGATTAATCATGTTATTAATGAAGGATTCATGACTTCTGATCAGTAAATCTAATTACTGCAGGATAACTTAATATTGGCAAAACAGTTTAAACAAGAAAATAACATTCTTTTACTACAAACTACTGTCAGATTGGAAAATTTATGGTTAAACTTGAAAGGCCAGAAAATGTGAAAATATTTCTAGAGTTAAAATGACAAATATTTTATGGGATTCTGCTGTTGACCTAGAAAAAATATAGTGTCAAATTCACAAAATAAGTAGAATATTGTAATAATATTTAAGATTTGAATTCACTAAATGAATTAAAAATACAAGAAATATCTATTCTATTAAAATTTGTTCAGTCAATTACCATTATACATTAAAGTAAATTGATATTTATATTGATAAATCTACAAAATACTGAATTTTTTGAACCATTTCGCTACGGGCCACCTATAGTGATATATTTTTTTCAATTTAGAGCTGCAATATAAAAAAGATTATTCAAACAATGATGGTATATGTGCTCTTTAGCTTCAATTTTCTCCAGATGAATCTTGCAAAATCTTTTCAATGGGTAAACGTTATTATTGTCATTATTATGGACCCGTTATAGTTAATATTAAAACCCGTTAAGAATCTGTTAATATTAAGCTTTTTTTTTCATCCGGATTGGTAACGAGTTAATCCGTTAAAATAACAAATATTATTAAAATAATAAAATATTTATTTAGTTTTTATTTAATTTGGAGGATGAATTGTTTCAAGTTGTGATTTATTTATCTAAAAAAAAATCAGGTTTGTTAACGGATTAACACCAAATCCTATTACTATTACTATTACTATTACATTATAATGATCGGCGAGGATAAACCTCTTTTAAATCATTTGCCTCATGCATAGCTACATCAAAAACTAGTTTTCGTGGAGATGAAAAAAAATCCATTCTTGGCATGTATCCAATCATATAATAATAATAAAAAAATTTTTTTATTGTTCATAGTAAAATTTGCAGATAATAAATTTAAATTTAAGCAAATAATAACCGTATCATTAAATACCAAAAGCAAATCACTTGTTTTCAATTCTTTGTGATAGTGGCCGAAACTAACTCATAGTTTAGGTATTTAGGCAATTTTGGTTTAGGCCTAATTTCGCCCACGAAAATTAATTGGCGAACTTAAAATGGCCTAAATTGTGTAGGATAATTAATTTAATTTTCCCGACCACAAATGTTTTATTAATATTAATATTAAACAAAACAAAAAAGGGTTAGTTTGTTTTATTATAAATGAAAATGTTTATCAACGAATTATTTGTAAGGGATAATTTCATATCAACTTTTCTGCTTCTACTCTCAAGAAAGGCTCCAAGTTATTAATATAAAATTACTTAATTACTCGATTATTAATTAATTAATTAAAAATTTATTGATCACATATATGAAATAAATTAAATGTAAAATAATAAAAAAGTTTATTTATATTATCGAGTATTGATTGCTGCGTCCGACTTATCGAATTTATTAAAACGAATACTAGATCACATGTCCGACATACAATTGGACGGTTTTCGATAAATCCATTTTATTTAAAATTTTGCTCGTAGGTTTGCAATTTAACCACAATTTAAGAATTTCGCCCATAGTTTAAGAGCTTCGCCCACAGTTTATATAAGAGTTTCATCCATAGTTTAAGAGTTTCGTCCACAGTTTAGGCAATTTTTAAGTTTCGCCGCTAGTTTAGTCCTAATTTCTATGGGCAAAACTATTTCATATTTGCCAAATAATTTTTGCTACCATCATTAACTTCTTTACTGATGAGTTCTCAATATAAGTGGAGTTAGTTTTATTCGTATGTAAATTTGGAGCATTAAAAAATATTCTAATTTAAAAATAGAGTTTTTGAAAACAACTAGATGAGTTGAGGGATGGTAGTGGAAATCAATAACAAGATAATAGTATGTTTCCATCTACTCTACATATACTATTTTTTCTACCTGTTCTTTGTGAAAGTTATATCAAATTTTCTTTTTACTTTAAACAAAAATGCGGAAGCTTCCTGTAATTTTACTTGGTACTTTGCGAAGATAATTGATTAATTAAAACATTAACATCATAATTTATTTTAAATAAGGAAGAAAATACAGTTCATTCTCTTTATAATGAACCTTCCATCCCTATATGTAATTTTTCAGGCTTTGTTTGTTATAGAGAGTGTTTACTAAGATGTTCATTATAGAGAAAGGAATTAATTATAAGAAAATGAATCAGGGACCAAAGGAAAGTTCATTATAGAGAGAAGCCTGTTTATTTTGTTTATTTGTCAATTTTTGTTACTAATAGAAGAAGAGGATAATGTTATACACTCCCTGGACAAAAGTTTTGGTCACCATAAAACAATTAATTGTGCAAAAACGTACATAATAAAGGTATAAATAATTTTTATTGATCATAATTAAGGTTCTCAAGCATTTTTATGCAAAATTTCAAGTTTTAATAACGTCTAGGAAAACAATAGTTAAAAAAAAAATAAAAAGTTCGACCAAAATAATCCAAAAAATCATATTTTGCCAAAAAAAAATCAGTTTCTCAGAAACTTACATAATAACCACACCCGAAATCTTGATATGTGAAAGATTAGATTCTGAAAAATTATGTCATATGTTTTTATACAATTTTACTACTTTAAAAAATCGATTTGAAGTTTTTGAAATTTCCAAATTTCACTAAAATTAATAAATTTAGCAGAATTTGAATGTGGACAGATAATTGGACTATTACAAAGGCAGTAGTACTATTTCACATATTCCCAAATCACTTAGAATGGCAAGAACAACTGTAACTAAAACTATTAAAAACTTCCAGAAGAGAAATAGCATTAGAGTTACCAAGAAGTGGATACCCTAAACATTTGAATGTGACCATCAGAACGAATTGAAGAAAAGAAAATTGTAAATCTTCTGAAAAAATAAAAGCCCAATTTAATGAAAATACAGGTTTACAGGCTTCAAATAAAACCATAAAAAGTTTACATGATTAAATATTTATTCTCATATCCACCATGTACAGTCAACCCTTTCTAAATGCACCCCCTTTGGGAATGAGTGAAAGCATGCGCTTAGAGAAACAAAGCATTTCATTGGTTACACATCATACTAATAATGCCATTATTATTATTACCAAAAAAAATTTATATTCATAATTATTGATTAAGATAAGATTCCATTGTACTTTGTCTCATTGTTTTTATTGTTTTTAAACTAATATATCTATTTTCACCGATTAAATTTGGGAGAGCGTGTTTTAATTGGTGATAACAATTATTTTTGTTTTTGCGCGGATCAGAATGAATAGGGGATCAACGAATTGATTTTGTTATTAGCGAATAATTTTGTTTAAAGAAGATAAAAGTTTTAAATAAAATATTTCTATTTTATTTATTTAGTTTATTTAGTCAAAACTAATTAACTTGTTATCAAGTTACTTTTACATTAGGTCGAAATCAAGTTCTTTATATACATGTTCATTTACATATTAGCCCGAATTGCGCGAATTCGCTCACTTTGTACTTGGGCGAATCCGCATGTTTTGAGCGATTCCGCCCGTTCCGGGAGAATCGTCATTAATCTCTACTAAATAAAGTTAAATAAATACGAACGTGCTACGGATTGATTAATAATAATAATACGCGAAACGTAACACCAATTCAGATGATAATAAATAATTATACACGTTATTAATAAATAAAAATAGAAATAATAAAAATAAAATAAATAAAAATAAAAATAAATAATAGGTTAAATAAAATAATAATAAAAATAAAAATAAAAATAGAAATAAAATTTAATTTGACCCAAAATTAAAGGATTCGGCCAAATTATCGTCATCATCATCTGATCCTGGTAACATCACTCCTCCTTCAACATTGAGCTCCTGCGAAACAGGCAAAGTAAAATCACCCAACAGTGATATTGATTTGCATATTTAATTTGTTTTTCTTGTGCTAATATTAATGTATCTCTTGCTATTTTCATCATATTATTCCAACGATCTAAGAATTCATTCACGGTAACAACTCTTGTTGAATTATTTGATAAAATTGTCACTGGGGTGTTTGGATGATATCCACAATCAAATTCAAATGGTGTGAAACCTGTGGAGAGTTTATTTTAATTGGTGATAACAATTATTTTTGTTTTTGCGTGGATCAGAATGAATAGGGATCAATGAATTGATTTTGTTATTAGCGAATAATTTGGTTAAAGAAGATTTAAATAAAATATTGCTATTTTATTTATTTAGTTTTATTTAGTCGAAACTAATTGACTTATTACCAAGTTACTTTTACATTAGGTCGAAATCAAGTTCTTTATATACATGTTCATTTACATATTAGCCCGAATTGCGCGAATTCGCTCACTTTGTACTTGGGCGAATCCGCATGTTTTGAGCGATTCCGCCCGTTCCGGGAGAATCGTCATTAATCTCTACTAAATAAAGTTAAATAAATACGAACGTGCTACGGATTGATTAATAATAATAATACGCGAAACGTAACACCAATTCAGATGATAATAAATAATTATACACGTTATTAATAAATAAAAATAGAAATAATAAAAATAAAATAAATAAAAATAAAAATAAATAATAGGTTAAATAAAATAATAATAAAAATAAAAATAAAAATAGAAATAAAATTTAATTTGACCCAAAATTAAAGGATTCGGCCAAATTATCGTCATCATCATCTGATCCTGGTAACATCACTCCTCCTTCAACATTGAGCTCCTGCGAAACAGGCAAAGTAAAATCACCCAACAGTACTTCCAATAAATTAGGTGGTGCTAATCGTTCTGCAACGATTTCTCTTGCACCACTAATTAATTCTTCAAATTTTTCATTAGACAGGTTTTGAAGGGTACGAGGAGTTAATCTTCTTAAGGATAAGTAGGATAATCCGACTATGTCAAATAAGATCACAGTCCGTTTTGTTAATCGGACACGTTTATCCTCCACATTTGATTTGGACATTATCCAATTAATACTTTTTCTCACAGTTGAGGGGTATTCATTTATAAGTTTTCCAAGAACATAATAATTCTCGAAAGTTCTGTTCTTAGGAAACTTCAATTTTGCTAGAATTACCCCCACCTGTGCTTCTGTACTTCCTTCAATAGTTGGTAGTTCTACTTTGTCATCTCGCCATTCTCTAAATTCGTCCAAATATTCTTCAATCCCGGAGGATCGTTGTGGTGATGTTAATCGTAATGCCTGTCTTCCCCATTTATTTTTAATCCCCCCCCCGTTTCGTATAGTTACTTCATCTTCTTCTGGCATTCACTCTATCAATTTTTAAATCTGTTGTTCTAATGCAAGTGTCAAATAAGAATAAGTAGATGTTTGATTCATATTTAATGATAAATTTTTATTTTCTTGAAGTAAATTTTTGCAATTCCGTATTTATAGTGTTTTTAGTGATTGATGTGTTGATTATTTTCTAACTTTGCCTTCTACATTCCTTAATTGGTAAGTTCCATTTAATCCAATATCATGAATATAGAATGGTCCTTCCCATTTTTCTTCTAGTTTTTTGGCAGGGTTCCTGTACAACAAAACTTTATCTCCAATATAAAATTTTTGTTCTACA